GACAAAATGGCTCTATAGACACCCATTTGTGTCTCCCCAAAACCAAACCCAGTGATGAGTACCTTTCGCGTCGAATCATAATCAAATGAAGCGAAAGTGTGGAAAGTTTAGTGTTGCGGATAGTTTTAATTTCTTTTCTCTTCTCTCTGTTTTTGAAAACTTATTTTAAGAAAACATCCAATCCAGTTTGGTTGGTCCATGATATGGGTCCAATAATAGTTTAGTTGGATGGGGCTTGCAAAGAGCTTTCCAACAATATATTATAAGCCCAATTCCGATGAATATTGAGGAAGTTATGGCCAATTTACTAAACTAGGCCCGGTTTGAGCTTTATATGCGACCCAATGATCTAGGGGAGGGCCTAATATGATTTATCATTCCTAATGTAATTAGGAAGGATTTTAGTCTTCTAGATTCTTCTAGAAGGTTCTTTTCATTCCTAATTCAATTAGCATTGATAAATTGACTTTTCAGAGTTTTAATTAAAATCAAAAAGCATTTTTCGAGGAAAAGATACGATTTTATCCTCCTGTACGGCAAATTTATCTGATTTTCGAAAACGCGTTAAAAACAGGACTAGCGCCTGACGCCAGGCATTGGCGCCTGACACTAGGCCCTGGCGCCTGCTATTGGCGCCTGGCGCTAGTGTTGGCGCCTGGCGCCAATTAGCTGGTGCTGGCGCCAGCTCTTTTTTAGGTGCGCCAGCTCTGTTTTCTGTGCGCCAATGCTCTGTTTTGATAATTTATCTTTTTGGCTGATTTTCTCTATAAATAATGTATTAAAAACTCCGTTTTCATTCATCAACAACCAGTTTTCAATTATAATCACCTACAACCAGTTTTCAATTCTGATTTTCTTCCTTCATTCATCTCTCTCTTTCTTTTTCTAAACTTGCTTTTACATACAAAATTTCGCATTCACAAGATCTAGAAACACCTAGCCATATTCGAAGTTGCCTTCGCCCTAGACGTGAAAGGTTTAATTTCTGAGGGTTTGGTCCCAAATCTCTCTTCAATTATTTAATTTAATTGTTTTGATTATTATTTTCCTTGAAGTTACTAACATGTGTATTTTGTTATTAGAAAGAGGTACGAGGCATCAAAGTAAGTACTTTAATTGTTTTTATTGATGTTATGATGTAGAGATCATGTTTATATTGTTATTATGATATTCCTAGTATCATGTCTAGGGTAATTTTAATACTAAATATGATTGTTACAATGCTTCCTATGTTCTTCCTAATATTTATGATTGTTAGTATCATGTTAGGGTTAAAGGTTTGATTTTTATTGTTTAGTGACATGCTAGGGTTTGTTATTAATCTTGTTAGTATCATGCCTAGGATCTTTCTATTATTATGCTTTAATATTAACATGAACATGATTATGATTATAATGATTATAATTTATGATTATTATTATTATTATTTTGATGATTATTATTTTATTTATGACGATTATTATTATGATTATTCTTTATGATTTATGATTATAATTGTTATAATTATTGTGATGATGATTATTTTTAATTATTATTATTTATGATTATTATGTTGCTTGATATATATTTTTTGTTATTGCTTGATCACGCCTTTTATTGCATGTTTAAAGGGAATTGGTATTTGTAATCACACTTATATAAGATAATTGATAATCTTGTTTAGGATTTAATATGATTATAATTCAAGTGATCGCCAATAACAGATTTATTTGTGCATTAGTATTCAACCAACATAGATTAAACAGGTTTAGGGTAAACCTATTGATTGCATGTTAGTCAAAAAGCGCACATGAATACGATCAGAATAAAGTAGAGGCCTATTATTAGGGCAGGTTCAATCTCTTTTAAGTTGGATTTGTACCTTCATCCCCGAACCCTTATTTGGTTCTAGACCTTATGGAGTTGACGATCTCTTGGATCGTTAAGGGGTGTAACCTTCACCCTGTGAACGGTTTACAAGTTCCTAAAACTTGTTGGCGACTCTTTTGCTGTATCTCCTTCCCTTTTAGACGCCACCGTCCTTTAGTGTATGATCACAGTGGGGTTTAAGCTAGGGGTTAACGCTTGAAATATTCCCTACAGGCTCCATACCCAACTTTTGTCCTACTAGAAACACAGTGTGCTAAATGGTGGTACATTAAAGAGGGAAAGTTAACCTTAATATTCTTAGAGATTCAGAAGATTACTGCCATATCCATCAAACAAGCTTCCTCTTTCTTAGCAGTTCGAGGCAGAATAGTTCTCTTAACAAGATTAAACAACAATTTATTCATGGGACTTAGATCATTATGACTCATGACCTTCTTCCCCCTTTGACCACCTAGAGCTTCAACAATATCACCTGTCAAGTAGTTTCCTACATTGACACTGCCCTTCCCTTTGATATATGACTCATAACCCTCAATAGGCGTTTCAGAATTTTATCTAGGGTTTCAATATTGTTGATCTTAAGTTTTGATGATGACTCAAGGAACCTAAGCAAACCCATAAGGGCTTTAACTTTTGTCTATAAGCTTTGATGTACTTGACAGGTTCTTATATGCATTGAAGTTCTAGAGTCAGAACGGAGCATGGAACAAGGTCCAAGGATGAGCTATGGATGAACATAGAAGACAATCAGCAGCCAAGTTCCTTGAGTGAGGAACTGAAGCTTCAGAGTTGAAGCTTCACTGTGTTCCAAGGAGTCTATTGTATCTTTATTATTTATTTAGGCTTCTTGTATATATGTTAAGTACATTGTTAATTGATAGGATTAAAGTGAATTGAATTTCAGTTTATAAAGATTTTATTTTTCCTTTCTTTAACAAGATTTAATTTTATTTCGGAAAAATATCTTTTAAGTAAAAATATCTTATTTATTAAAAGATTTTCTGTTCTGATTTTATCCTAATATTTTGGAAAATCTGACTTGGTAAAACTATTTTTAAAACGGCTTTTACTTGGTAAAGGAGGTTGAGAAAATAAAGGAATCACTTCCTTATTGTATGCTTCAGCTTGCTGCCCAAGCATCCACGAACTGCACTTCCTTATTTCATGGAAGTTGTGGTATAGTGGGAGCTAAGGCAAACGTAAGGTTTTCAACTGGTTTCCTCCTGTATAAATAGGTTTAGTTTTCTGTTTTGAAAAGTACACTTGAGCATTACGATTCTTAGCTTTTCTAAAAGAGTCAAAAATCCACTTAAGTCCTTGAGTGTCTTTGTACTTAGCATCTTAGAAGTTTTGATCTTGAGTTGTATTGGGGTAGAGTTTGGGTAAACTCTAGATTGTGAAATTGCTTTGAGTGAAGCAAGGAGAAAGAGAGAGATTTGAGAGCTCAACTGATTGAGGGATCAGTTGAGGGGGAACTTAAGTTCGTAGAGGAACTTGAGTTTAGAAGTCTTAATTTGTAATAGGTTGTTTGCCCTATTTTTATTAAGAGTTGTGATTAAAATCCCTTGTGGTAGTGGTTTTTCTTCTTGATTAGGGCCAAGAAATTTTCCACGTAAAATCTCTCTTGCACTTTAAAGTTTTGTTTAAGTTTCTTTAAGAATTCCACAAAAATTACCCTAGTTCCTCAACAATACAATTCACCCCCCCCTCTTGTATTGTTCATTCGAGTCAACAATTGGTATCAGAGCCGGTTCCTCGAAGAAATCAGGAAACCCTAACGAGTTAAGTTCCTGGAATCAAGATGAACAATCACGAGAAACTGGAAGAAGGTTACTCTATGCAGCGTCCTCCTATGTTCACTGGAAAATTCTACACCTATTGGAAGAACAGGATGGAGATTTTTATCAAAGCCGACAACTACCAGGTTTGGAGAGTGATCAAAGTTGGTGATTTTGAAATTACCAAAACCACTGGTGAAAATGAGGTAGTACCTAAACCCATGTCTGAATTTGATAAGGAAGATTTTGAGAAAATGGAAATTACTGCACTTGCTGTTAAATTACTTTATTGTGGACTTGGACCCAATGAACACAACCGTGTTATGGGTTGTAAAAATGCTAAAGAAATTTGGGATTTACTTCAAGTCACTCATGAAGGAACTAACGAAGTGAAACGCTCTAAGATTGACTTGCTTATGTCAAAATATGAACGGTTTGAAATGCAACCAAAAGAATCAATTCAGGAAATGTGAACTAGATTTACTAACATTACTAATGAGCTTGTTTCTCTTGGAAAGCAAATCCCTATTGATGAGCAGGTCAGAAAAGTTCTAAGAAGCCTCCCCCAAGATGAGAGATGGAGAGCCAAGGTAACAGCCTTACAAGAAACAAAGGACTTCACAAAGTTCAATATTGAGCAACTTATTGGTTCCCTTATAACCCATGAGATGCACCTAGGAACAAGCAACAGTGAAGGAAACCGAGGAAAAGGCTTGGCTCTCAAAGCTGGAGATCAAGAAGACTCCGAAGTCGATGAAGAAGAGGCTGCTATGCTGGTGAGAAGGTTCAAAAGAATGTTCAACCGAATCAACAAATCAAGGAACTTCACCAAGAAACCCTCTACTTCAAAAACTAACTCTGGTTGTCACAAATGTGGATCTCTAGAACACTTTAATCGTGAGTGTCCACTTTGGGATACAGAGAAAGGTAAAGGGAAGGAAAATGAACAAGTTAAGAGCAACTACAACAAAACTCCTTTCAATAAAACAGACATTGGGAAGGCTATGATTGCTGCCTGGGGAGATTCAGAAAGTGAGGATGAAGAGAAACAACCTGAAGAAGAAACATCTCATCTATGTCTGATGGCCAAACGTGATGAAAAGGCTTACAACGATGAGCTTGCTAAAGAGGTATTCCTTGATCCTAATGTGCTTAAAACTTATACTAAAGATGCTCTCATTGATTTAGTGTTTGAATTAGAAGATGACTGGACTCACACTAGTATTCGTCTAGGTGAATGTCAAAGAGCTCTCAAAGTCTGCAAGGAACACAGTACGTGGATTGAGAATCAACGAACTGATGTTCAAAGTAGATTTTTTTGAACTTTTTGACAAAAATCTTCTATTAAAAGAAATGAATGAGAAACTCAAGTTTGAGAATATCATGGTTAATGTAGAATTGACTCAATACAAACTTGCTAATGCTGAAGTGTCTCCAAGTTCCTCCTCTGAATATTTGCCTAAATTTAATGAGGATTTTGAAAAATTAAAATATGATCTTGACGAGTTAAGAATTGAAAAGGCAAAAGTGGAGAAGGAACTTGAGCTTCGAAAAGAAAGAAGCATTAGCCAGTTTGGAATTCCTAAGTGGATAGAGAATGCTCAAACCAAAAGAACTGAAGGTCTAGGATTCATAAGTTCTAAGCATAAGGGCAAGAAAAAATATGTAGACCTGCCTAGTTATAAAGTATGTACCTTCTGTGGTAAAACTGGTCATCTTGTTGCCACTTGTAACAAGAAGGAACAGTCTGTTAGTAAGAATGTTAGGCAAGTTTGGGTAAAGAAATATGATATTGCTTCAACGTCCAAGGAACCCAAGGAAACCTGGGTTCCTGAATCTAACCAATAAGTTCTTTTGCAGGTCCTAGTGAGGGGGAACAACACGTGGTACCTCGACAGTGGTTGTTCAAAGCATATGACAGGAGATAAATCAAAGTTTCTCTCACTAGAGGCCTATCCAGGAGGATCTGTGACCTTTAGAGACAACAAAAAAGGTGAAGTAATTGCTAAAGGAAAAGTAGGAAGGTCCAGTTCTCATTCAATAGAAAATGTACCTTTGGTCGAGGGTTTGATGCACAATTTGCTGAGCATATCACAATTTTGTGATAAAGGAAACTCTGTAAGTTTTACCTCTGATTCATGCAACATCATTAATGATAAAACAGGAAGGGTTGTTCTTGAAGGAACTAGAAAAGGGAACACATACATTGTGGATCTAAATTCTGTTCCAAGGAACAACCTTACCTGCTTGAGTGCCATTAATGACGATCCCTTATTATGGCATAAACGTTTTGGACATGCTAGCTTCTCACTCATGGATAAACTTAGAGCAAGGAACTTGGTTATAGGGCTTCCCTCAGTCAAGTTCCTCATACAACATATCTGTGATGCATGTGTGAGAGGCAAGCAAGTAGGTCTTCTTTTAAAAGCAAAAACATGGTCAGCACCACAAAGCCATTGGAGCTAATTCATATGGATTTGTGTGGTCCCATGCGTGTTCAAAGTAGAAGTGGAAAGAAATATGTTTTAGTTATTATTGATGATTTTTCTAGATTTACTTGGGTGATTTTTCTGTCTAGCAAGGATGAAACTTTTGATGAATTTGTGTCCTTTGCCAAAAGAGTACAGAATTCAAGTGGAAATCAAATTATCCACATTCGATCAGATCATGGAACTGAGTTTGAGAATTCAAGATTCGATGACTTTTGCAAAGAAAATGGCATGGATCATAACTTTCCAGCCCCAAGAACTCCTCAACAGAATGGAGTTGTTGAAAGGAATAATAGGACTCTAGAAGATATGGCAAGAACTATTCTCATAGCAAGTGGTCTTCCAAGAAACTTCTGGGCTGAAGCTATTAATACTGCATGTTATACTATTAACAGGGTTATGATGAGACCAATCATCAATAAGACTCCTTATGAACTGTTTAAGGGCAGGAAACCCAATATTTCTCACTTTCAAGCTTTTGGATGCAGGTGCTTTGTTCATAATAATTGGAAAAGGAACATAGGAAAATTTGATGAAAGAAGTGATGAAGCTGTGTTCCTTGGCTATGCATCAAATAGCAAAGCTTACAGAGTTTACAATAAAAATACATTGTGTGTAGAAGAAAGCATTCAAGTGATATTTGATGAATCTAATATGTTTATGAATGTGCAGGAACAAGACAATAATGATTATGAAATTGGTATGATTAGAGACAGGGAAGAAGATGAAGAAACCTCCAAGCAAACCAAGGAAGTAAGAGAGGAACCTGAGCAAGAACATAAAGAAAATGCTGAAGTTCCAAATCAAGAAAACCCGGAGGAACGAGATCATGGAGAACCTGGCAACAAGGAAAATGGAGAAGAAATTGAAGAAGAAGTGCCTCAAATAGGAGTTCCTGCCAGAGAATTTCAACCAAAGCCATTCAGATATCGAGGCTCTCATCCAACATACCTTATTATAAGTGATATTGGTAGAGGAACTCAAACCAGATCACAGTTGAGGAACTTCTGTCCGAGGCATTTTAATGTGCAAAGAGAGTCCCATCCTCGCCAATGAATACGCTTCCTTCCCTTACTTTGGCCCCACTAGAAGTTAGCCATAGCCGAGTGAATTTTCCTAATTACCTCACTTTAAAATTTGTAAACAACCATGAGGTAGGTCGGGATCGCTTGGATTACAGATTTTAAGAGTATTTCTTTTCCGACTTGCGACAGTAGCTTTTCCTTCCAACCTTGCAATTTCTTCCAGATTCTATCTAATAGAGCTTCAAAAACTAACCGTTTTGCTCTCCCCAAAATATTCGGAAAACCTAGGTACTTCTCATGACGATCAACATGCCTTATATTCAGGATACTCAAAAGTTCATCTTTTTGCTCAGCCCTTACCCCTCTACTGAAGGACAATTCCGATTTTTCATAATTAATTTTCTGACCGGATACCGCTTCATACTGGTTACAAGATTCGAACATGCAAGCTCAAACTCTTATATTAAATGTTTCACCAATAAGCTATGACATATTTTATGTATTCTTTGTCAAACAATATTTATATATCTCGTGTTGAAAAGGCTTTTCGTATCGATTTTTAGGATTTAGTGGCGATTGAAATTGATACGATTTCTCAAAATTATATAAATGTGTAAAAATAGTGTTGATATGTATTATTATGTTTTCCGTATCGATTTTATATGAGAAAACCAATGCGATTGTAAAAATGATACGACATCCTTAATTATTTCACAAACATACTTGCATATTGTAGCGAATGTACAATCGCTATAAAATAATCGCTACGAAAAGAGATTTTTATTGTAGTTTACCTTTCGGTTTTCCCTTGTAAAGAGAAGACTGTCATCTGCAAAAAGAAGGTGAGAAACCTCCGGACCCCTACGACTTGCTTTTCCACCATGGATGTCACCCATATTGAACTTACTCTGTATCATGTGCGAAAAGGCATCCGCCATGATAATAAATAAATAAGGTGAGAGAGGATCACCCTGTCGTAATCCTCTAGAGGGGTTGACTGTACCACATACATCCCCATTAATATTAAAAGAGTACTTGACGGAGGTGACCAAGGTCATCACCAAATTGACCCATCTACCATCAAAACCCATCTTCAAAAGCAGTTGCCTCAAGAAACCCCATTCCACCCTGTCGTAGTCTTTACTCATGTCGAGCTTCATGGAAATGTGACCCTTCCGACCCTTACTCCTCTTCTTCATCGTGTGAAATAACTCCAGAGCAATCAAAACATTATTAATGATTAATCGTCTCGGAACAAAAGCACTTTGATTTTCTGAAATTATTTCCTTAAGAATGTTCTTAAGCCGAATCACCAGACATTTTGTGACAAGCTTGTATAAAAAATTGCAAAGACTTATGGGTCGGAACTCTACAGCATTTTTGGGCTCCTTGATTTTCGGAATAAGAGCGATGTTTGTTTTATTTATGTCATTCAGGAAAGGGTTACCATTTAAAATTCCCGAAACGAAATTTGCAACATCATCTCCAACAATGTGCCAAAACCGCTGGTAAAAAATAACGTGCATCCCATCGGGACCGGGAACCTTGCTAGGATGCATTTGCTTTAGGGCCACATAGACTTCTTCTTTTGTGTACGGTTTCATCAGCATGTCATTCATAGGCTGGGAAATAAGAGCCTTCACGTTGTCAAAAACTTGATCAATATCATGATTAGTGGGTCTTGATGAAGAGAAAATATCATTAAAGTACTCATTAATGATGGCCTCCAAATCTTCATCTGCGGTTTTCCAAGTACCCCCTTCATCCCACAGCCCTCTTATATGATTTTTTGCTTTTCGATGCGATGCCTTGTGACGGAAATACTTGGTATTTCTATCACCTTCTCGAACCTCCGCTACCCGAGACCGGATGTGCCAGTATACTTCATGTTTTTCATGTAACTCATCAAGGTATTGTTCGATTTCATTTCATTCTCTACAGCTATCTTCACTGATAGGGCAATTCTGGGCATTTTGAAGAGCAATTTCAGCTTCTGCGATCTTTTTCCCCAGCATATTGTAAGTTTCCCCACTCCAAAAGGCCAAATTCCTACTGACAGTAGCAATTTTCCTAATAGTGCTCAAAGAGACCGAGCCTTCCCAAGCTGCTTTTATCACATCTTCACAGCCTTCATCCACTAGCCAGCAAGTCTCGAACTTGAAATATTTTTTCTTCTTCTTTTTCTTCTTTGTGGTCGGTTTCTCACAGTAAAGAAGAATAGGGGAATGGTCGGATTTATACCTCAAAATATGCTCCACCGTTGCACCACTAAATAAGGAACACCAATTCTCTGACCCAAGGAATCTTTCTAACCTTTCACGAATTCGAGTAGAAGGAGTTCTCCCACGCTCCCAAGTATACCAAGTGCCACTATACCCCATATCCCGCAAACCGCAATCTCCTACATTGTCTCTAAAATTTTCCATCTCCTTCCTAACCCCTTGTGCACCTCCTTCTCTCTCATTGTAAGATAATATCTCATTGAAATCACCTCTCAAGAGTAAAGGTACCCCATTATTGCATAAGTGTCGTATAAGCTCCCAAGTCTGTCCCTTCTCTTCGGTTTTTGCCGAACCATAGACCCCAGCAAACCACCACTTAAAAGTCCCTCCACACCAAATATCACCACATATATGATGATCAAAATAGGATAAGAGCCGAAAGTTGACATTCTCTTTCCAATAGATACAAAGGCCACCAAAAAGACCCCTGCTCAAAACTCCAAAAGCTCTAGGGCAACCCAAACTACCTCTAAGATTTTCTACCACTGATTTCTCAACATTTGTTTCAGAAATAAAAATCAGGCTCGGGCAATATTTATGGCTCCACTTCCGGACAGTTCCAAGAAAGTACACTTATTTGGGTTGGCGAGGTTGGTCTGTACCAACCTCCGCCAATGGTCCCACACCACTTGACTATTGAATGTAAATAATTTTCTTACTAACATGTTGCTCTTGATTCATTTGCTCTTCTCCATCTCTTGCACGCTTACCCATCTCTACTACCACCTGATCACCATTATTTTCACTCACACTAACTCTGGAACTTCCTTTCCATTGTCTCAACCCCCTCTTAGTTCCCTCCTCATTAGGTAAGCATAATAAGCTTGCTTCGTGGACTGCTTCATTACTTGAACTTTAATTTCCACTCCTTTCTTTTCAAAGCTCACCTTTCCCTCTTTACTAGTTAATCCCCCACCCTTATCACCTGATTCTCTACATACTTCCTCTCTAGTTGTGATACCACTCTCCAATTCTCCCTTCTCCTCCTCACTACTACCTGGTTCGGATATAATGTTGCTCACTTGCCCCATCACTCCTCCATCCTCCACCCTCTTATTCCCCTCCGCTGCATTCTCCTTTGGATTTTTAGTGATGAAAAGTCTCCTAACTGCATTGCTAAGCTCCCCCTCATCACTCACTACCTCATTTTTAGTTGCCTTCCATGGAGTTGAGACCCAAAGCTTCTCGCTGAATTTTCTTGTAATCACATTGTCATCGCAATCCTTCTCCCCATGCCCCAAGAGGCCACAAATATAGCAGAAAACATGGAGTTTTTCATACTTTGTATGTACTGCAATCGGTCCTCTACCAGTTTTCAACTCCACCATATTAGTAAGGGATTTATTAACATCTATAAGAACACAAATTCTAAAAGATTTATTTATTCCAATCACATCAGATTTATCCATAGCAAGAAAAGAACCTATTTTGTCACCAATTCGCCTTGCATTGTCTTCATTGTTTCTACCCTTAAAAGGTAGGTCATACACACGTATCCAGAAAGGAACAAAATTGAGAGGGATCTCCTAAGGTTTAGAATTACCTTTTACATCATCCAGAATCATGAGATGGTGATCAAAATGCCATGGTTGAGAATCCATCACGAATTGCTTATCTTTCAAGTGGTGAAATTGGAAGTAGAATGTTTTTTCTCCGATTAGATTCGCCTCACAACCATGCTTAGGGTTCCATATTCTCCTCATATTATTGATGAGGGCATTAGCGTTAACATTACGGGAAGTATGGATTTTCCCTACTACTGCCAATTCAATTTGTGCCTCCTCTTCTCCCCGTCCATCATCTTCCCAATCAATACCGCTATCCTCCTTGTTCAGGTTAAGTAGCGTATCCATAGAGATTTCTTGATCCATGAATAACAAGGAAACAGATCAAAGAGATAGCGAACAATCTTCAAAATAGAAGCAAAAACTAGCAAAAGCTAGAAGAAACCCTCCCAAGAGAAAACCCTAGAGGGAACGTGGGCAACGCATTAACACCTGTGAATTAGTGTCACTATTGATTATATTAGTAGCGAGTAGTTTACTCGGTGGGTGGATCAAGTTTTTTCCCTCCCTATCCCTTTCTTGCAATTAAGTTTTAACGTGGATTAATCTACGTTGGCTGTAAAAAAAATGTAAATAAAGTCCCATTTGATCTCTCCATGCTATCCACTGATTATTATGAAAGCTGCCAAACTTGTTTAACTAAGGTTGCTTTTGATTCAAATAAATTTATCTAAATTAAATTTAGGGTTTTTCTCACTTTTACATATGTGAACAAATTAAGAAACACATTCTGGGCCATGTGTATGTACTTCACAGAGCAATGTAAAATCGCGTGCGGAACCCATAACCTTAAAATAACTTGTACATGATTAAGGCCCACACATGGTCTATTTTTGGCCTGTGGATCAATTGTTTAGTCCTTTACTACAAGTTTTGATAATTTATCAAAAGCGTTTCGATAGAATAACCACAACAAGAAAATAAATCCTTAGCGACCGCCTAAAATGGTCTGTGAAAAGCGGGGGTAGTCGATAAATTAATTACTGACCACCAACGGTCGGTAAATGTCGGTCAGAAATTTTTTAGTCTTCAACTTTTAACGACGGTTCGGCCATTTAGTACCATTGCTACTTGAATCGGGTAAAGACAGTCGTTAAGTACCATTAGCAAAAGCAAACAGTAATTATCGATTGCTCAATATACAGTATTTACCGTTTGACTAGATATTTTACCGATCGCTAGCG